TAGAGATGACTATGCCTGAGCTACTGAAATTCCTCACAACTGCTGAGGAGAGTCTAGGGAAGGGCAAGGGTAAGTCTGTCCTGATGGTAGAGGGCAGTACTATTGCGAAGAAGAGTGGGCCACGTTCGCCGGCCGGGACCAAGCGCAAGGGTTCTAAGAAACCCAAGCCAGCGTCCAACTCCTCTTCGTTGAAACCCAATGAAGGAGCTAAGAAGAAGTCTGCTGTATGCTATTATTGTGGCAAAAAGGGCCACTGGAGGCGCAACTGCGCAAAATTACTGGCAGAGAGGAAAGAGGGAAAGAAACCTCAAACCTCAGGTATCTTCGTTATTGAAGTCAATATGTCTGATATCACCTCTTGGGTGATGGATACTGGATGTGGTTCTCACATCTATACTTCTATGAAGGATCTGCATGCACGTAGACAATTGACGGAGGGAGAGATACAACTAAAAGTCGGCAATGGCGCACTCGTAAATGCATTAGCCGTTGGAACCTATAGTTTATCTCTACCTAGTGGTCTTGTATTGCAGTTAAATAATTGTCTGTTTGTACCCAGTATGAGCAGAAACATCATTTCTGTATCCTGCCTTGACAAAGCAGGATTTTCGTTCGTTGTAAAAGACAAAACTCTTTCTGTCTTTAGAAATGAAATATTTTATGCAACTGCAAAAATGACCAACGGTCTCTATGCCCTCGACATGGATACCGCAGTATATAACGTAGATGTTAAGAGAAACAAACCTAACAGTTTGAATCTCGCGTACCTTTGGCATTGTCGTTTGGGCCACATTAACGAGAAACGCAAATCTAAGTTACATCGTTCCGGTGTACTTGATTCATTTGACTTCCAGTCATATGATGTATGTAAATCTTGTTTACTTGGTAAAATGACAAAGGCTCCATTCACTGGTCACGGTAAAAGGGCGAGTGACTTATTGGGCCTCATACACTCCGATGTCTGTGGTCCAATTAGCACTGTAGCTAGAGGTGGTTATTCTTACTTCGTTACATTTACTGACGACCTTAGTAGATATGGATATGTGTATCTCATGAAACACAAATCGGAATGCTTTGACAAATTCAAAGAATTCAAGAACGAAGTAGAAA